CCGCGGGCACCCGCCCACCTCGCTCCGGGCCATCACGATGGGCACTGGCTCGCCTACCCCGCGCCTTCCATCACTGGCACCCTGCCCGCTCATCCGGGGCCCCGCACCACCGCTCCGGGCTTCCCCCATCACCACCGGAACCCCTCCACCACCATGGGCACCCTACCCACTCACCCCGGACCCCTCACCCCCATCCCGGACCCCTACCATCACCACGGGCCTCCCACTATCACCAGGGGCACCCTACCCATTCACCCAGGGCCCCGCACCACCACTCCGGGCTTCCCCCATCACCACCGGCACCCCTCCACCACCATGGGCACTCTACCCACTCACCCCGGGCCCCTCACCACCACCATGGGCCCCCACCATCCCACAGGTACCCTGCCCTCTCATCCTGGGCCCCCCACCATCACCACGGGCACCCTGCCTGCTCATCTCGGGCCCACCACCACCACCCGGCCTGGGGCAGGACCCCCTTTCTGAGGCTGAGACCACTTTGCCCTACTCTCTCCCATGAGTTGCCCGTGGGGTCCCCTGACCTCAGGAGCTAAGTAAGATCTGGAGAGCTAGATCTGCCCTGAGGGTGACAGCAGAGCCACCAACAGTGCGGCAGGAACCGGCCACGTGTTCTAGAGAAGAGCTGTCAGGTGTCCATGCTGCCGGGCAGGGATCTGTGCACCAGCTCCAGACATGGTCCCATGCCCACATGGCTAGGAAAGCTGTGTCTCAGTTTCCAAGTTGCCAGTACAGGCCCTCATTCTGGAGCTCAGGAAACCAAGGAGGTGGACGGACTGACTAGGTTTTGTGGAGAAGGTGGGCCACGTCCACAGAAGACCCAACCTGGCCTAAAGACTTCGTCTCTCTGGCTCTGCACGTGGACAGAGGGGGTCTGGTAGGAGCACATCCTTCATTGCCGCCTGCCCTACAGGACTAAAGGAGGGGGAGGCGGGACTCTGACTCAAGGCTGCCCTCCACTCTCCTAGGCTGTTAATCGCTAGGGCGACTCTTTCCACAGATTGACCACCCACCCTTCTGCTAGCAGCCCAAGGCTTAGGACACATCACCACCAGGTCACTTGTGAACAGGAGAGCCATCCTTTCTCACCAGGAGAGGAAGCCACTGACCCCGCCTGATGAAGCTCCCATAAACCCACGGAAAATCCCCAAACCGGACAGCCTGCAGCTCTGTGAATCCAGGCTGCTCCCTCGAGGCTGCTGGGGCCTCCGGGGTAGCTGGTGTGGATGCTGTGATTCCCAGAGACCTCTGTGCAAGGACAGCCCAGCCTGCCAGAGGCTGTGAAGTCTGGGCAGATGGCCAGGCCTTTATTCTGAGGTGCTTCTGGGAGGATTCAATCCAGTAAAGAACCACAGGGTCCTCTCCTCTGTGCCAGGCTTCCAGACCAAGCTGGCAACTCCAGAAAACCACAGAGGGGGACTGGCCTTGACAGTGATGATGACTGTGGTCAGCTCAGATAGAAAATGAACCCAGGCTCAGCTGGCGTGGACCGGGGTTGGCCAGGGCACAGCAATGTCCTCTCAGAGGAGCCCAAGCCAGAGCTGCCAAGTCCACCCTGACACACGGCCCCTCCTCCAGGTTCCCACAGCTGGAAGCTCTATCGGAGGCGAGTGCTCGCCTGTCTCTTGAGGAGTGGTTGGGAGATTCGAACCCAGGACCTGTTAGTTTGCAGCCTGACAGGGAACACACTAGACCACCAAAGCTCCTTCTCAGAGAAACAGCAGTCTGAAAGCATAGACTTGAACCCTTATAACTCAAGGGTCCCCTACCAAATCTGATGTATGTGAAAATCTGCAGACTGGAGACCTTTGTCCCCAGTAAAACCCTGCACCCAGGTGTCAGTTTCCTTCCCAGGACTTGCAGGGGCCTCACAATCATGCTTCTCAGGCACTTCCTGGGAAGTTTTGATCTGCGGTTGTTAGGTGTGGAATGGGTTAGATACTAGTTGATGGATTGTCACTGGAACTCTGCACAACCACTGCTTCACAGGTAAGAAGACGTGAGCAGCTCCTTGATCATTCTCCAAACATCACGTCCTGGGGATAGTGGACGCACCTGTGAACAGCAGTGAGCACAAACCAGGGCCAGTACCTAACACCTGGGTGCGAGGCTCTTAACCTTGCTGAAGTCAGGAGCTCCTCTGAGGAGGTGAGGAAAACTGTGCACCGTGTCTCCCATTTGAACTCTCACATATGTGTACACACACATTCATTAAATATGTACACACACATGTGCACACTCACGTACATGTGTGTGCTCAGACCATCACATGCTGCATGTTTGCACACCCACGTGTGTGTTCATACAGGCGTGCTTTTACATGCACACACATGCATTCTCTCACACATACATGTGTGTACACACAGGCACATTCATACTCGCTAACATGCATACATACACACGCTTACTTGCACATTCATGTGTGTGCACACTCATTTATACATTCACACAAATGTGTGTAGACACACTCCCACGCACACAAGTGCACGTCCTCTTTCACACACACACGCTTGCACACAGATTCGCACCGTTTTGCATGTTGTTTAAGACCCACTAGTGCACAAATGAAAGAGCCCTTTGCAGCTGTTATTAGGAGTTTTTCGGAGCCAAGTTGAACATCTCCACACAAAGCTCTGCTCCACAAGCCAATGCAGAGCCACGGCTGTGCAGGGAGAGCACCCAGTCCCCCCGAGGCTGAGGGGAGCATCCCACCCCACCATGAAAGGACACACAGCGTCCTGGTGTCAACACGTCTCACAGCCTGTCTCACACGGGGGCAAACAGTGTGCAGCTGCTTTCCCCCAAAACCCAGAAACCAGTGCAGCGCCATGCATCCAGTCAGGAGCACAGCCACCCCTCTACGGTCCCATTTCCTGGGACGAGGCTTCATCTATCGCCCTGTCAGAATTCACCTGTGCACTGCATTTGTGAACCGTAGGTGCTGTGAGACATGCATAGAGCAGATCAGTGGCCGTGAGCCCCTGTCTGGTCCAGCCAAGGCAGAAATGTGTTCCTGACTGCCCTCAGGAGCTCTGTTGCGTGGTCCCCATCAATTCTGACCCCCACGTGTGACTGAAGGGAACCCTGGTCCTGAGTCACCCTCACACCACTGTTGTAGTCGCTGTGTCTAATCACCTCACTGGAAAGAAAGAGAAGGGTGTAAGTTCACTCTGCACACCCACCGCCTGCACCCACAGGACCGGACCCAGGCTGGAGTCCCCCTTGCACCCCCGCCATGCCAGCCTCAAGCTGGGACTCCCTTCTTTCCACACATGTAGCTAGTTTTTAGAGGAGAAAAAAGGACGCTTTAAAATGGCTACAGAGATCCAAGTTCCAGGAATATTTGGCAGCGCAGACCACACAGATACAATTTATACAGACTGAAAAGTCCTGTAAGCAGATACTTTAATCAAGAAACCTTTCAGCCCCTCGGGCCGCACCCCTCCCCCAGCCCAGCACACTCCCAGTGGCATTCCAGCCTGCAGCCCCCTCTCTCTTCTCTACTCCAAGCTGATTGAAGATGGGTCCCAGGCAGAGCCAGCCCTCGGGTGCCAGGTGACGGTCCTGCCCACTGTGGCGGCCCACAGCTGCTCTGTCCCCCTCACAAGCAAGAGGCCACCAGCTTCAGTGCTAGAGACACTGCCCATGGTAACTCACCAGGGTCTCGCTGTGTCCCTACCAACCCTGGGAACCTGACGTAGGGTCAGCTTGGGTGCCTGGGCCTTTTAGCTCCTTGTCTGAAATGCCTGGTTTGTCCAAGCCACGACAGGGCTGCTGCTGACACACGTGGATTCTGGAGGAGGTTTGGGCTCTGTGCACTCTGTGATGACGGCGCTCAGTGGATACGTGGATTTCTGTATCAGCTTTGGGTTCCTATGTGTTGTAATCATAGGTGCTTGGAAGACACACTTAGGATTCCACAGGAGCGTTGGGTCCATGCACCTTGTGATAGCAAGCACTCACTGATGTGTGTGGGTTCTGTGGTCGTGGACACTCAGCTGACACGCATGGATTCTGCGGGTGTTTGGGTTCCGTGGTCGTGGACACTCGGCCGACACGCATGGATTTTGGGGGTGTTTGTGTTCCGTGGTCGTGGACACTCGGCCGACACGCATGGATTTCGGGGGTGTTTGTGTTCCGTGGTCATGGACACTTGGCTGACACGCATGGATTCTGGGGGTGTTTGGGTTCCATGGTTGTGGACATTCGGCTGACACACATGAATTCTGCGGGTGTTTGGGTTCCGTGGTCGTGGACACTCAGACAACATGCATGGATTCTGGGGGTGTTTGGGTTCCACACACTGTGATCGTGGGCACACGTGGGTTCTGCAGGTGTTTGGGTTCCATCCTCTGTGATTGCGGGCACTCGGCTGACACACATGGATTTTGCGGGTGTTTTGGCTCTGTCTGTGCTCACTGTGACCTCAGGCATTTGTCTGGCTTCCACAAAGGTTGCTCCTTTGCCAACTCAAGCATGACTTCTTAAAACTCCTTGAAACTTAACTCAAAACTATCATTTTATGTGCCACAAACAGAAAAATACAGAACACCAACCTGCACAAATAGTATTTCAGGTCTGAGGTCTGTCTGGAGATTTTTTAAGAGCAAATACCACGAAGGGTACTTGGCTCGGGATAACCATGTCAGTAAGCTGCCCACCACTCACTAGGTGCATGCGGGCACTGGTCAGGAGCAGGCTGGCTCCATGTGGCCTCAGCCTCCTGTGCCAACAATCACACACTGAAAGTTGCTGGCATGTCAGAGT